CACTCAGTCTTTCCTGGGCTCACCATCACAGGCGCACATATATGTGGAACACACTCAATCTTTCCTGGGCTCACCATCACAGGCGCACATACATGTGGAACACACTCTTTCTTTCAGGCATAATGGAAGGCCGCAACTAAAGACGGCAGCCCTCAGATCGGCCCCTCTGAACATGCTTCCTGCTGGCCAAGGTTCTAGGGACTGTTCTTTACAGCTTTAGTTAGAACTTCAAGATCAAACGCTGGACCTGAGGGATGTATATGTGTAGACAAATCTCACCATGGCCGACTCCCAACTCAAGATGCAGACAGTCAGTATTTAATAACCTAAGACGTCAGTCACATGATGTGGCCTGCTTAATTCAGTTGTCTTTCTAGTCGTACACTTTCATCTGGTCCAATGCTTCCAAATTAGTACCTCACAAAAATGTAGCAAGCTCAATTCTTCACAGATAAGGTGTCTTCAACAACCTTGACAAAAAAATTAAATCTTTAAAAAAAAAGTGGCTACAATTGTAAAAATGGAAATAAGCCGTTAAAGGATTTTTATTTGAATATAACATTCTAATTCATAAGTATGATTAAAAGTTTTTTAATTTATTTATTTAGTGTGTAGGTCAGAGGACAACCTGGGGAAATTGTTTATCTCTTTGTATCATGTGGGTTTGGGGTTGAACCCAGGTTGTCAGGTTTGGAAAAAGGCTTCTCAACCCACTATGTAATCTCACTAGCTCAAGAGTGACTTTTACAGCTTCAGTGTATTTTCATCTTACTGTTATTGCTATCCAAAGTTAGCTCGTATTAGTAAAAGCCACTCAAAGTGAATCTACTTAAAAAACGGAGGCCAGCTTGCACTCCTGTGCACATACAGACATATATGTGCAATTTAAAATAATTAATTTCTTTAAAATGAAGGCCAAAAACCTTATTGGTAAATAGTAAAGAGGATTTGGCTAAGGGGATATATTAATAAGTTTATCTTATTTTAAACAATTGTTTTTGGTTTGGTTTGGTTTTTGTTTTTTTGAGACAGTTTTTCTGTGTAGCCCTGGCTGTCCTGGAATTTGCTTTGTAGACCAGGCTGGCTTCGAACTCAGAGATCCGTCTGCCTCTGCCTTTGCCTCCTGAGTGCTGGGATTAAAGGTGTAAATCACCATCTGGCTTTATTTTGAACAATTTTTAAGTTGTAATTTCACTTACCAACACTGACTTTCTTTTCTGGAATAATTTTTCTAGCAAAGAAATTATCCAACACAACATGACGTCCTCCCCACGGCTTCTGACTTCTCCTTGTTAGGAGAAGACAGCAGCCAGATATCCACACACATGTGCACACGTGCAGGCACTCATCCGCACACTCACACACATGCATGGACACACACATTAAAGAAGTAACCGAGAACCACTTTATAAACTACACAAGCTCTATTGGTTTGCCAGGGAATGCTCTTAATATCCATGATATGCTCTTTGCTCTCCAAATGATCATTTTCAAAGCACCTGAGATGACCTTCATCAATGACTTTATCTTTTTTCATTGTAAAATACAACAATCCCTGGCATATATTCCAAAATCCTTAAGGGATGACTGAAACCTCCTAGGTAGTACCCAGTCCTATATGTAACACCTCCTTCCCTATACATACATACATATACCTGTGATATGGTTTAATTAAAAAGTTAGCAAGTAAGACATTAGCAACTAATAATATAGCAGAACAAACAGAAACATACAGTAGTAAGTAGCAGGGGCTGACGATGGCACAGTAGTTAAGAGCACATGCGGTTATTTCGGGGACCTGAGTTGGGTTCCCAGCACCCATGTAGATAGTTCATATTCACCTGTAATTGCAGCACCAGGGGGATCCTAAGTATCTGGGCTCCTCAGACACCAGTATACACATGCACATACTCCACACCCCCATGCCTGATTAAAATAATAAATCAACTTTAGTGATGTAATGGGGTTGCACTCTCAGAACACCATCCTGATTTTGACCTTTCCTTGTAAAGGTAACACTGTGCTCCTGGGCACACCTGAACTGCTGACATCACCGCTCCTGTATTTTACATCAATATTAAGCACGTCAGTGTTTACAGAATCTAAGTGCTGTGACTGGTACTGATCCTGGAAAAGTCAGTCTGATAACCAAATGGCTGCAAAGTGACGAGTGGGGAGGTCACAAGCCAGGCGCTGATAGGCTGCACAAAAGGATGATTGACATCTCGGCAGCAGTACAGAGGAAAGACATCGCACCACTCAAAACTCAAACACAGGATGTTCCATCACATTAGTCAAAACTTCTTCAGTTAATTCATAAAATTTTCATGTAACATTTTTGTACTGTGGCTGACCACAGATAACTAAAACCCCGAATAAGAGGGTTTTTCCTTTATAATCCTCTTACACCTATGCATACACTATGGTTCTGTTAGACCTATGGACACACTATGATTCTATTACATCTATGTGCACACTATGGCCCTGTTACACCTATGGGAACACTATGGTCCTGTTACACCTATGGGCACACTATGGTCCTGTTACACCTATGCCTACACTATGGTCCTGTTACACCTAAGCATACACTATGGTCCTGTTACACCTATGCCTACACTATGGTCCTGTTAGACCTATGGGTACACTATGGTCCTGTTATACCTATGGGCACACTATGGTCCTGTTATACCTATGGGCACACTATGGTCCTGTTACACCTATGCCTACACTATGGTCCTGTTACACCTACGGGTACACTATGATCCTGTTATACCTATGGACACACTATGATCCTATTACACCTATGGGCACACTATGGTGCTGTTACACCTATGGGCACACTATGGTCCTGTTACACCTATGGGCACACTATGGTCCTGTTACACCTATGGGCACACTATAGTCCTGTTACACCTGTGTGCATACTATGGTCCTGTTAGACACTGATTTGGCACTGGACTGCAATCAGTTCCTCTAATTAATTTCAGAGACAAGGTGAATACTGGAACTTTTTCCAAATTCTGTCTGTATGATATCAATGCTGACGACTTTTATACTACAGTGCCCTCAAACAGAAATGCATTTCTCAAAAGTGAGACCACTTGCACAATCTGCATCATACTGACTTTCTCCCTCACTAATCTTTTGATAATAAACATGATGAAAAGGTGTTCCCCATCATGCACAATCAAATTATGAATTATTTAGGTAACCTACTTACTTGTGACAGAAAAAAAAAAGGTAAAATATTTTCTAAGAGAACTAACCAGCCAAGGAGAAAAAAAGTTTTAGATTATTTGGTTCTAATCTGTGGTGATATTTTGTTTATGATCTAACAAATAAAACTTGCCTGAAAATTAGAGTGCAGAGCTAGTTACTACTTAGCCAAAGAGTCCAGAGACTGGTGGCGCACACCTTTAATCCCAGCACTCAGGAGGCAGAGGCAGGTGAATCTTTGTGAGCTCAAGGCCACCCTGGGCTACACTAAACTGACCCAGTTTCAAAGAAAAACAGAGCCAGGAGGTGGCGGCTCACACCTTTTTAATCCCAGCACTTGGGAGTCACACACCCTTAATCCCAGCACTAGGGAGTCAAGCACCCTTAATCCCAGCACTAGGGAGGTGGAGACAGAAAGGGATATGGCTGGCTGGGAGAGAAGAATATAAATCAGGAGCTCAAGGCATTCAGTCTGAGCATTTGTAGAGACAAGGATCTTGGTTCTGAGGATTTTGCAGAGGTAAGAACTAGTGGCCGGCTGTTCTGCTTCTCTGATCTTTCAGCTTTCACCCCTTAATATCTGACTTTGGGTCTTTATTACTAAGATCAATTAGAATTCATGCTACACTAATCTTTTTTATTTCACATGCCTCAAATTCTATTTCTTTTCTTTTTTAAAATTTTTAAAAACTTAACTTTATTATTTACTTATTTATTTATTGTTGTGTATACCTTTAATCCTGGCACTTGGGAGGCACAGGCAGATCTCTGTGAGCTCAAAATCAGCCTAGTCTATAAATCAAGTTCCAGGACAGCCAGGACTATAACACAGAGAAACCCTGTCTTGAAAATCCCTAAAAAGTTTTAAAAAATATTTATGTATGGCGCCATCGCACAGAAAATCTGCTAATTCTGCCGACTCTGTCAGCAGGAACCAACTGTTCTGATGGACGAGACCGTCCACGGCTGCACTGTATAACTAACAAATGCAATCACTACCGGGACAGTCACGCTATTTAACTTTACTTTACGTGCATTGTGTGAGGGCATCAGATCCCCTGGGACTGAAGTAACAGACATTTATGAGCTGCCATGTGGGTGCTGGGAATTGAACCTGGGCCCTTGGAAGAACAGCCAGTGTTCTTAACCACTGAGCTATCTCTCCAGCCCATCAAATTCTATTTCTGAAGAAAGGGACACTACCTACTTTTGAAAGATTGAACAATAATAAAGAAACTAACAAAAATAGATGGATGAATAGATGATAGATGGATAATAGACAGACAGACAGACAGACAGAAAGGCAGATACATGTGACTCTGTATCTCAACTTTGGTATAAGACATCAACTTCTGACTGCAATCTCTCCACCTGTGGTGACATCAGGAGAGACATCTGCTCGGAGTCTGCGTTGTACCCATAATAACTAAGGCTCTTCTGCTTTGTCCATCAGCAGTCAGTCTCAGACGAGCAAGGTGTGGCCTTTCTCTGGACATTCCCTGTGGAACTTTCTATTTCACCTGGCCTCTGCTTCTCTCCAACAGTGAAGCTAATAGTAACAGTCACACCCTGGCAGCACCATCCCACAGCTGGGACTAAGTGGGTGACAGGTAGGAGCAACCTCAGGTAAAAAATGCTTCAGAGTCACTGTTTTTATCGGAAGTTCTGGAAAGTTTCTGTGGCTGTTATTTCACTTTTGTTTCTTATAATAAATAAGTACCTCTCAGTGTACTGTTCACTTGGTCAATTTCTCAAGACCCAAGTTCTTGGGGGTTTGGGACACTATTGTCCAGTGCTTAAGACCTGTGACTTGTCTAGCTGTCGTTTTCACCAAAGACTGACAAACCGTCATGGCACAGAAGACATCTAACATGGGAGATGCAGCCTAGACCCAGGCCTCAAGATCTGCCTGTTATATAAGGCTGTGGAAAAGGTACGCTGCAAACAGTGCCATGGCCACAGGGGCCACAAAAGCCTAGCACAGTAATTCCTTCTGTGGAAAATGGAAGAAAGCATTTCATATTAATACTCAGCACACTCATAAACATCTAATGAAGAAGAATGGGGATGTACCCTTTGAGTACCCTAATAGTAATAGAGACGCACAGTTGAAGGACAGAAACATGTCCAATGCAGTCAGTCTAGAAAGAGACAAAGGAGGCCAGGTCTGTGGTGCATGCCTGTTATTTATCTCAGCAGGCCGAGGCTGAGAGATGGTGAATTCAAGGCCAGCAGATAAACTAACATAAGGAGAAGACTTGACCAGCACCGCCTGGCACAAGCAGCGACTTTCTTCCTCCTGTGCAGCCATGCTGTGTGTGAGCAGTGACAGACAGACCCATATCTTCTTCAGAGCAGTCACATGAACACATTTTAAGAAAGAGTACATCTACTCTTCATGAAAATCTACTGAAGCTAGATTTTGGACATGTTAGAAAACCACAGAATCAAATATTGCACCAGAGACCGTAGAAACAACTATACAAAGAAACAACTTACCTCGATAGCAAAGATGCCTTTATCGCGACCATAGACTTTCATCTCTTCTGGGAAAAGCTGAAAGGCATTTCTGTATGGAATGCGGTCCTCTTCAACAAACCTGTGCTTTACAGAAAGGAGTCTCGATGAGAGCTGCACACTGGCTCTGGGTAAACTTTCTGAAAACCTCCCTTGGGTAGTTTGTGCAGCAGATTCTATCTCCTACATATTTTAAAAGAGGACCCCTGTAGGAGAGCAGTCAGCTGATGGTCTGCAGAGTGTCTAACTCTAACTAATACGGTAAATGTTTGAGAAGTGTGTACTTGCCCACTCACCACCAGGCTCCCAGACCACTCCTTCCACATCTGCTGCCATCACTGGACTAGCTCCGTCACAGTGAACCCCTTCTTCAGGAAGATCTTCCTTGGTCCCCTTTTCCTTGTCCTCCCTTCTGTCCTTAGGACCTAGCCAAGAGCGCACTATCTGATGGAAAACTATTAAGGTTTCTGTCCCAATGCCTTGTATACAGCAGGAGGCCAAGCATTTAAACCCCAGACATTTAAAAATGGACCAAAACACTTATTGACATTCCACTCATCAAGTCAAAGTTGTGGGTACAACATAGCACTAGCACTGGTGGGGAAACAGCAGAGACCCAAACAGGACAAACTTCTGTTCCTGCTGAGCTTGTGTTCTAGTGAGAAGAGGAAATGCGAGCAGTCAGTCAACAAACCTACAATGTGCAAGAAACAAAATAGAGAGTGAGAGCGAGAAAGCGAGAGAGAGAGAGAGAGAGAGAGAGAGAGAGAGAGAGAGAGAGAGAG